TAGTATATGTAGCCCTAGTTCATGTATTTTAACTATTGTGTAAGATTCCATTGTAGGAATATATGCCACTTGATTCCCTTGCCATTCTGCTTTTGAAGAGTATGTAAGTTGTCCCTGGGTTCTTGGGGTGATTTTTTAATAGTCGATGAAATGACAAATTCTTTTATCGGTGTTTGTTTATATGTGTTAAGTTCCAAGTTTCAAGAATAAAATTCAATTGCTTTGATACTGTAATCACATGGCCTCGCTTGACACGTTATTTCACTTTGTCAAAGTCTTCAGTCACACAAAACATCACAAGGGCTGAACTGACTCTGGGTACAGTACCATCACCCAGGAGGAGGGCGCCACTCAAGTCACAAACATTCAGAGCTGCACCTGTAGATACGCACAGTGGATTTGTCACAGTTCACAAAGGCTATAATCCCTTCCTCCCTGAGACAGGCATTCTTAAGCCTTAGACACAATATACAGAAAAGTGCTATTAGCTTTAAAAATCCCTCTAACTTTGCAATTATAATCAAATAATTTTAAGAAACATAAACTATACCCAGAATCGGGAATGGAACTCAAACTCTCTAACGTCTTGCTGTGCTTTGAAGTGCTGTCATCCACAAGACAAGTTTGATCTGGTCATTTTACCATTGTGGGATTGTCGCATAGAAACCATGTAAAGAGACTATCCTTCAACACACATAAAGATAAGAGAAGTTTTCTCCAAAGTTATCCATTTTGTGTGTGTGTGTGTGGAAGTGCAGTCAGATAGCTCTAAAGACACATAACTTGGGATGATTCTAAAAGAAATTACAGGTGGGCCAGTCACAAATGACCAATGCATAGAGGGTGTGGAGATTGTACTAGCAGTGGGCTCATGGGAAGATTCTGGAATGTCTATCTCTGAATTCAGAGCCCTTAGTAAACTCTTTCAAGGGTCTCTTCTTAGAAATATAACACTCACAGATTTAGCAGCCTATGGTTTTACTTTTATGCGTAACACCTTACTATTATGAAGTGGACTCAATTATCAAGCCTTTAAAACTTGCAATATGTCCCAGTGTATAATTGATTTGACTCATTTCATTTCAACAAGCATGAAATTCCTGTGCTTCAACTGGGTCCATTACACTTAATTCATTTAAGTCATGTGTTCTCCAGAATGTTTATAAAAGACAGTTATATCTCTTCTTGTGTTGATTTTTTTCTTTTTTCTTTTTTTTTTTTGCCATCACAAATAACGCTGCTTTGTGTGTCACAAACACATGTGTAAGAATTTTTCTGGGGCGTATACTGAGGAATGGCATATACTGGGTATATACTTCTCCCATTTTAATAGGTACCGTCACATTGTTACCTGAAGTGATTGCACCATTCTACATGCACTCCAGGAGAGGGGTGGAGTTCTCATTTCTCTACCTCCTTACTGACAGCTTCTGAAAGTTTTACTAGTTTGCCGATGCAGATAGCTTCCACTTGGTGCCAGTCTATCTTTACACCTCCCTACCACTTGCTACCCACCCTTTGCACAAAGAGAGATGGGACCTCAGGCTCAGAACATCAACGAGCATTATTATCATTTTACTTTCCATGGGTTTGTCACTGTTGCGGACCATTCTTGGGCAATCGCTATGCCTCTCCGACTGTGATGGGGATGTGAAATTTCCTTGTCTGAGAAATTAAATAAATAGAAATTAAATAAATAAATAAAACCAGATGATGGCAAAGTATCAGGTAAATAATGAGACAGATTACATATGAATGTGAGGGGGAAAAAATCATGCAGGTGGCCTGAATGACTAAAAATGGATGGAAATTTTGTACTGCCTTCATGACTCATCATAAGGGAGTATTGTGGAGCTCTGAGACCGATGGGTTCTGTGTCTCTCCCTGAAAATGACAACATTTCGGAACTAGAAGACTTCCTAACGGTCATGTTATCTGGCCCTCTTACTTCATAGGTGACGAAATTGTGGTTCGGAGAGAGGAAATGTCTTTTGCCTGTGGTGGCACAGAGTGAGAGGAGGCTCGTATTCTGGTTTTCCTGATAAGCACATGATGGGGTAGTGGCTGGATGGATGGGAAAGAGGAAGGCAGGTTTACCAGTGGCTAGGAGAACCGCACCTTATCCCCGGTTCTGGGCACCCATGCTTGCTGCTTCATTATTCATAATCCCCTCTTAGGGTGCTTGGAGATGGTTCATGCCTGGTCCCCTCTTCTCAAGTACCTAAGATGTGAGTTATTTAAGCATGTGGTTCCTGCAACCCTCCCAGCCCCCGACCCCCTGCCATCTCCTCCACATCTATGCTGAAGATTACACACCATCTGTTCCACCTGTTAAACTTCTCTTCTGGCTCCTTATTTCCTAACTCCTAAATGTTAAGCTCAAATGTCCTCTTTTTCTTTCAGGGCTAATTGATGGACATTATTGCCTTGTCCAAGAAACTGAATGATCTTGTAACTGCTGGGAAAAGAAATCTCAGAAAGAAAGGTGGGCAAAAGTGGGCAACAGTTTCTTCTTTCCTTCTGACTGCAGCAAACCAGATGCTGTTCTGCATGATAAAGTTCTGATAAAACTGAGAACATTTGCACAAGCAACCATCTCATTCTGTCACAAGAGAATGCCTGTGTGAAAAAGTAAAGCCTTATTTTGTGATTATAAAACTATCCTTGAAAGGGTTATTTGGACAAAGGAGTCCTTTGTGGTACGCAGCCAGCAAAAATTATTGTTTTTCCCTGTAAATTGTGACTTTCAACACCTAAAAAGCTTGCAATTTTTATTGTCTTGATTGATAATTTGTTTCCCTGGGAATAATACTAACATTGATGTTTTTGTTTGCTTTAAAGTGTAAATACTTCATTAGGTGAGAAGAAGGGCTTTGGAATTTCTACCTTCTGCCTTTATGCATAAAGTTTATAATGATCTTGTCAGACTGTTTATTCAAACCAAGAGTTGAGAGTCCATCTCATTTAGATTCTGTAAAAATTTATAATAGCCATTTTGCTATAACTTTTTGCATTATGTTTTAGTGGTTGCCCAAGAAATTATAATATACATTTTCCATTTCTCCCAACCTGTATGGAGGTAATATTGTACCACTTGACATAAAATGTAGAAACCTTGCAACTATATAGATCAAATAACCATTCTTTATGCCATATCATCTTTTATACCATAGTCATTACATGTATTATATTTGCATACATTTAAAAGTCACAAGACAAAAGTGTAATTTTTTTGTGTTAAGCAGTTATGTTTTTAAATAAATGAAGAGAAAAAGTCAATCTTTTATATTTACCCAGAGATTACTAATTCTAATGTTCTTCAGCCCTCCCTATAGATGTGAGTTTCTAACTGCTATCATTTTCCTTCCACATGAAGAATTTACTTTAGCATTTCTTGAAGTGCAGGTCTTTGCACATTGTTTTAGGTTCTTTTTTGATCTGAAAATATCCTGCATTCTTGAAGGATATTTTTCCTGGATTTAGAAACCCATGTTGACAACTTCTTTTTTCTTAGTTCTTCCAAGATATTGTTCCACTTTCTTCTGGCCTCCGTGGTTTCTGATGAGAAGTCAGTGATAATTCAAACACTCTTCTATATGAAATGTACTGTTTTTATCTTTGGTTTTCAGAGTTAATTTGTTAGTGCTCATAATTTGGCTGGAATCAAATGGAAATTCTCCATCCCCTTCCCCATCCCCACAGTAGGTTACAACTCAAATTTTGGTTCAGTTCCCTTAGCCTTTGCTGAGCTGTTTGGAGTCTGACCGTAAATGAACACATGGTTCGGAGGTCAGCTAAATATTTAGGGGGTTCATACAGAGAATTTGAAGCAACTTCTCTCTGTCTCTCTCCTTTCTAGAATTTTTACCCCCACTTCCTAACAGCTATTATTACCCTCAATTCTGTCCTCTGGTTATTCAGGGCAGTAAAGCTTTGCATTTTTTAACAGAGTTTTCATTGCCCTGCACTACAGATCATTAAGAGCTGTCTTCAAGCTAAACTCATGTGCTGAGAATTCATCAACTATATTCTTGTCTCCCACGTGTTGACACCCTTCCAGTATCTGCCTACACTGGTCACTTTCCGGTACTTTCAGGTAATTGTTTTTTTATATTTTTTCCCCAGAATTTATAGTTGTTATCTGTGGTAGAGTTGGTCGGATAGGAGGTACTCAGCCATACTGGAAGTTGAAATCCTTATTTGTCTCATTTAATGAGCAATGCAAATATTCCCATCAGAGAGACAGTAAAGCTGAGGCCAGGAGAGGAAACGAGGTCATGGGTGTGTTTCAGAATGGGCAGGGAGGGCAATCAGCTATGATTAAAAAAAAATTGGGTTGGGGATTTTTAGATTTAGATCTTAGATTTTTTATATTCCTAAAGCAGACTGACTCTTATGCAAAGTCTCTGTTTTATGCATTAGTAAATCAAGGATATTATTAGTAGATAGTCAATGTTCATTAACCACTTAATAGGTCCAATGCTAAGTTTCTTGCATGCGTTATCTTTTTTAACACTAAATGCTACTGGATGAGATTGGATTACTTTTACTAGGAGATTTTGCAGAGGAGGAGACTGAGGTTTAGTGAGGTTAAGCCCAAAATGACTTAGAATTGTTTGCATGATTAGTCAATATAATAATAATCACAGCAGCAATAATAGCTTGTATTTATTGAACTGTTGACACATTGTAGATAACATGTTAGGTGCTCAATATACATTGTCTCATTTAATCTTTCCAAAAATTCTATGAGGTAGTATAATTTCCACTCTACCTTTTCAGATGGAGAAATGGAGGCTAGAAGAGGCTAAATCATTTGCCCAAGTTCACATAATTAGAAATAAGTAAATATGGGATTTGAACCCAAGCAGATTAGCTCCAAATTCAATTGCTTCATCTCAATGCCCCAACTGCCTTCTTGTTATGATAAAACTTCTGAAAAGGTCTATCACTTTATAGGTCCTCAAAAAAGCAAGTTCCCTTCCTTCTAATAAATACCGGGTTGCATCAAATGGAATCCACAGGCTATGAACTTCTCTGGCACATGCACACAGTTGGTACCAGTGAGTGTCTGCGGTGTCTGCTTCAACCTTAGAACCCCCATTTCCAACCAGTCACCAGGCACTCCAGCCTACAATGCAAATGAGGAAATCTTCCTAAGCTGGAAGGTTCCTTCGCCCAGTTTTTCACTTCATGTTTTGGATGCTACAGACCGGGTGAGCAGAGATCCCAGGCTCTGGCCCAGGCAGCTGCCCTGCCTCCGAGCTCTGCCATGAACCACTTCCAGACCATCCTGACTCAGGTCCGGACGCTGCTCTCCAGCCATCAGTCCAGTCAGGTGCAGGCCGTCCTAGACAGCCTGCTAGAGCAGGATCTTCTCTCCCGAGAGTACCACTGCGCCCTGCTCCGTGAACCTGATGGTGAGGCTCTGGCCAGGAAGATCTCCTTGACCCTGCTGGAGAAAGGAGACCTGGACTTGGCCCTCTTGAGGTGGGCCTGGAGTGGGCTGCAGGCCCCAGTGGCTGCACGAGACCCCAGTTACAAGGACCATGGGGGTAAGTTGGCTTCCCCTTTGCTCCAGTAGCAACGACTGGCTTCAGGCAGTTCAAGGATTGTCCCCTCTCTGAAAGGGAAGTCAGTGAGACCATTCCCACCCCAGGATGGGAAGGCAGACCTGGATGGGAATGAGGGCCTCTCGGGGAGCTGCCAGGCGTGGCAGGTGCCTGGAGAACCCTGTCCTTGATGCTGAGTGAGCTGGCAGCACACAGTGTGCTTCCCACTCTGCTGAAAAGAAGAAGGCATGCAGCCAAATGCCTCTTGATTCATTCTCTGAGCTGCCTTGACATGTCAGGCAGTGTTCTGGGCACTGGGAGCAGGGGGGCACAGATGGACAGATCCACTCCTTCCTGCAAGGGGCTCACAGTCTAGTGGGGAAAGCGGATGCAGGCACAATCAGAGTGGTCTCAAAATGGAGAAATAGGGGGCCTCGAGAAGAGGGGCCGAAGAGCCGGCCAGCAGAGGATGCCGTGTGTGTGTGCATCTATAGGCTTGTGCGTGTGTTTGTGTGTGCATGTGTGTATGGGCATGGGTGTGCATCCATGCCACGGAGTGAGACAGGAACCAAAAGTCAGACAGGGAGAGACAGAATAGAAAGAGCCAGACAGAGATGGAGAGAAGGAGGGAGAGAGTGAGAAAGAGGAAGACGGTGGGAGAAAAGAGAGACAGAGACAGAGGCTAGGAACTGCATCAGAGGAAGAGAGGAAGAAAATATATTACTTAAAAAAAAAAGTATCAGTGACACTTGATGCATCTTAAGTGGGAAAAACAAGCCTGTCCTACCCCGCTGCTGTACACACCTCGGCTCTTCAAATGTGGTAGGTCTTCCCTCCTGGTTGCAAAGAGGGTCTTATTTTGTTGCAAACAACTTCTTCCCAAAGACACCTTTGCTCTGTGCCCTTCTCTATGCCAATCTGTGCTTTTCCAAGTTTATGACTTGGCATCCTACCTTCTAGTCGTTCTTGGACCCTTTATGGTTTCTGAGTAACTTGAAACTTGAGATACTAATGATTTGCATGTACTGAGTATTTCCTGAACCTGTTCCAGCACCCTCTCGGCTAGTTCACACACCCACCCCGAGCCCTTGGGTGACCTCCATCCTTATTTTACACATAAAGAATCAAACAGACTGCCTGGAGGTGGCACAGCCTGGGTCCCTTGGGGGGAAGTGGTGGAGGCTGGGTTTGAAGGCAGCAGAGGACAAACTTTTATCCATTCCTGGCCTTGGGATGAAAAGCCTTTCAATGGTCTTGTCTTAGCCCCCAGGGTGGTGTAGATAGTTCTCCAACTCCTCTGCCAAGACTCAAGTTTATATGGGGCTGTTTCTCCTCCCATTAAATTCTCACCCAAATGGTGTCTATTGATCTCTGGACACGTCTTTTACAGGACATCTGTCCTGCCTGTATGACCCTCCCTGGCATCTTAAAGGGAGTGCAAGCAGCTGGGTGGTACTGATGGGGGTGGCAGAAGGGAGTCACAGCCTTTTTCGCTCCATGCTCCCCTGCGCCAAGGCTGCCCGACACCTCTGCCCCCCCAACTCTCTCTGGTTCCTGTTATTTAACTCCGTTTCCTCCCCGGGGATGTAATATTTTTATTTCTGATCCCACGTGACTCTAGAAAGGGAACTGGCTCAGTAGCATGGTCCTCAGGGGGCTTGGAGACAGAAAGTCGAATTTCTTCCAGCCCCACCTATCCTTCTAACTGCCCTCCAGGCCAGCTCCCCGCTGGGGCGGCTGGAGCCAGGAGCAGGCCAGGCCTCGAGGAGAAGTGCCATCTGAGCAAAAAGCTGAAGGCTGAGAGGAGGTTGGCCAACAGGGGGTCTTTCCCCCAAAGGGAAACGAAGCTGAGCCAGGGCAGGTGGGCTGCTATGGTGCCGAGGGGAGGGAGCAGCTCTCGGACCCGGAGCAGGAGAGCAGGAGAGAGAATACAGCACTTTGTAAATGTCGTGCACTGAGCTCTGCGTCAACAGGGGTTCAGAAAATGAAATGGTCATGTGAAGAATCTGTAATTCTCTCTCCAACCCTGGAAAGATCATCCTCCTCCGCTGCTCTAAACCCTGCACTGGCTCCCTGTGTCCTTCCAGACAATGGCCTGCCAGGCCCCTTACATTCAGGCTTTTGTCACTGCTCTGCTGTCAGCCCACCTCTGCCTTGCCATCCACTGCAGCCGGGCTGGCACCTCACTGCTCCTGCGACAGGCCTGGCAGGCTTTCCCTCAGGACCTGTGGATATGGAGTTCCCTCCATCTGGAACACTCCTCTCCAGATACCCCTTTGGCCGACCTCCTTACAGCCTTCAGCCCTTTGCTCAGATGTCACCTCTTCGAGGCCCACCCTGGCCACCCCACTTAGAATTGCAACTCCGCCTCCCCCTTCAGCCTCCTCCTGAGATCGACAAGTTCACCTTGTATAAATTTTACTTTTGCATTATGTTTATTGTTTCCTATCTGACTCTCCTACTGGAAAATAAGCTGCACATGGGCAGCGGTCTATATTTTTACCACAGATGCATCCCAAATGCCTAGCCTGGTGCCTGGCACAGGGTTGGTGTGAGATATGTATTTGTTGAGTGTTGATGGATGGAGGGATGGATGGATGGGTGAGCGGGCAGGTGGAGGGGCAATGGGTGGTTGGGTGGATGGTTCATGTGCTACCATTATTCTCACTTTATTGATGAGTAAACTGAGGCCCAGGGAGACTAAGTGATTTGCCTCAGGCCGTGCCCTGGGAGGGGGGCTGTCGGATTTCAGAGTCCAGATCTGTTACTGCACTTTCTGCTTGGCTGCCTCTTCTAAACAACCCAAAAGGATACTGTAAATGTACCAAAAACAAGTTGGCCTACTTCAAACCGAAACTGACCTGATGATTCAGAAGGCACCCTCTGATATCGCTGAGCTTCGGTTGCAATGGTGCAGAAAGCCCATTTCTGGGGATGTTTGCCTCTGTGCTTCACAAAGCAGCACAGGTACCTCCAGCCCCTTGCAAGCATGGAGGAGGCCTGAGAGTCGAGGTTGCTGTCTGGCCAGAACTCAGCAGCCTCACTGAGGAATAAGAGCCGACACTTGGGCGTTCTTTGCTTGACAGGGTGACAAGGCTTGAAAGGACCATCAGAGGCCAGAGAAGAGAGAATTGGGGTGGCAGTGATGGAAAGAGAACCAGGCTAGAAGCTGGATAACTACAGGTCTAAGGCCAAACACTGCACTTAAACTAATTTTGTGACTTTGGCCATGAGGCTGGAACCACAATGACCCTCAGTTTCTTCATCTCTAAAATGGAAGTGATGATATAAGCCTCCCAAGGCTATACTAAGGGTTAAACGAGGAGAGTGTAGCTGGGAAACTCTTCAAGGTGGTGCATGACAATAAAGAAATAACTTTAGAGAGTTAACAGCAAGGAGAATTGGACGGGGAGAATAAGCCAGGAGTTTCAAGGTGCTGAGAAAACAATCATGTCTGCAGTCTACAGGGACCCCCCATCATATCTAGATACCCACTCCCTGCGAAACACAGTGCTGAGTGTTGGGTGCTGTGTACATCCAAGAAATAAGTCAGTGTGGCCCCAACCCTTGGGTTGGCACATTGGTTAAGCATGTGGGCTATGGCCTCACAGACCTGAGTCCCAGTCACGGCTGCCCGATGCTAAAGGGTATGACTGTGAGCACTTCCTGGGAACCTCTCCAGGCCTCAGTTTCCCCATCTATAAAATGGAGGTGATAATAGTACCCAGAGCGGTGTTCTGAGGATGCGGGACATCACCCCATGCATGCCCAGCCGGAGGAAAGCTGGCTCTGGTGTATCTGCCTGAGAGCGGTGTTTGGGGTGACCTCAGGCCGGAGGAGCACAGAGGGATGACTATGGGCAAGGTCAGCACCCCCGGCCTTGGGTTTGTGGGGGAGTATGGGGCTGAGGGTGCCTTTGGAGCATGCTTTCTCAGAGCTATGGGCCTCCCGGCTGGGTTTCTCTGTTTTCCTGTTTTCCTTGGCTTTCCTTGGCTGTGCTGTTGCTCTGTGCTCTCATGATGTGCTACTCTTGCCCGTGAGGACTATGTCCTAGCAACCAGGGAACAGAGTTTCCCTCTAGGATGTTGACTGACTTACAGGAAACAGAGGGACCACCCTAGCCGGGAGGGGAAGGAAGGGGAGAGAGACCCGGCTGCCCACCCCCCACGTCAGCCGGTCCCTCCTAAGCCACCAAGCTCTTCCTTCCGCATTTGGACTTTAGGATGACAGACATCAGAAATGGGAGCTTGGAGAGGAGATGGGGCAAGCCCTCCCTCTCTCCCCTTCCTTTCCCAAAACCTGATTCTGCTCCAATCCAGGGGCTGCTGGAGGGCAACGTGCTGGCAGGCACAGCTGTTGGCCCTTTATCTTGGGCAGCTGCCCAGCCAGACGGACCCACTTCACCTTCATGCACAGGAGCCGCAGAAGGAGAAGCACCTGTACCCAGAAGCTGGCACTTCCCCGTGGGTTTTCCCGGGCTGGCCGGTGGCCGGTTCCCTACTTGGCATGGCCCCAGGCTCGGCGCCTAACCCAACCAGGGACAGTTTCTGTTCTCTGCTGTTGTCACCTTGAGCAGCTCACCTGTGTCACTGTCTGTTGGCCTCTGCAGCCACCTGCCTGCCCACCCTGCCCTCAAACTTACCTGGTCTACAGAACCACATACCAATACTTACTTGGCAACTCATCAGCTTATATCTACTTACCAATTTATCAGTCTTTCTATTCATCTAATCACCTACAGACTTATGGAATAACTTATTTACCTGCCTTCCTACCAACTCACCCACTTGGATATTTACCCACCATCAGACCTACATTCTCAGACACCCTCCTACCTGCCTAATTTGGATACATACCATCTTATTCTGTTCACCTCCTTCCTTAACCCCCTCCTTCCTTGTTTATTTAGCACCTGCTAGGGATGATGGTGCTCACAAAAAGCGTAAGAAAAGGCACTTACAGCTTCAGAAGGGGGTACTCTTGGTCTGTGGGGAACCTGAGCC